ATTTCATATAACCTTAATTTATAAAAATATTGTTTTAATATGTAATCAATATGAAGCTATTGATGAAACATTTTACGGTGTCAAGTTTTTTTTTTTTGTACTAAGTCTTTAAATCCAATATGTATTGAATTTTACTCATACATCTCAATTAGGACTAGTCACATTTCAAGTTCTCACTAATCACAGGTGGCTAGTGACTATCATGTTGGAAAACACAGGTGTAGGGTATCTGGTGCAGTGTTTAATGGAAATGGGGATTGTGACCATCCTTGCTTTCTTACCAGTTTCAAGGGGAATGCTTTCAATATTTCCCCATTAATTAGGATATTTGCTGTAGGTTTTTTGTAGATACCTTTACCAGGATAAAGACACTCCCTTGTATTCTGAGTCTGCGACACATTTTAAAACAAACAGATGTTGAACCTTTCCTGCATCTATGGAGATGACCATATGTCTTTCTCCTTTAACTGTTAATGTGGTGAATTCCATCAACTGATTTTCAATTGTTAAGCCAACCTTGCATTTCTGGACGAGACCCAATTTTGTCACAAGATAATATCATTTTGCTATATTGCCAAATTTGGTTTGCTAATGTTTTGTTTAAGACTTTTGTATCTACAAATGTAGGGATCCAAAGGGGTACGTGCACCCCAATGTTTATAGCAGCAATGTCCACAATAGCCAAACTGTGGAAAGAGCCAAGATGTCCATTGACAGGTGAATGGATAAAGAAGAGGTGGTATATATACACAATGGAATATTATGCAGCCATCAAAAGGAATGAGATCTTGCCATTTGTAACGACTGTAACGGATGGAACTGGAGGGTGTTATGCTGAGTGAAATAAGTCAATCAGAGAAAGACATGTATCATATGACCTCACTGATATGAGGAATTCTCAATCTCAGGAAACAAACTGAGGGTTGCTGGAGTGGTGGGGGGCGGGAGGGATGGGGTGGCTGGGTGATAGACATTGGGGAGGGTATGTGCTATGGTGAGCGCTGTGAATTGTGCAAGACTGATGAATCACGGATCTGTACTTCTGAAACAAATAATGCAATATATGTTAAGAAAAAAAAAAGAAGAAGAAGATAGCAGGAGGGGAAGAATGAAGGGGAGTAAGTCGGAGGGGGAGACGAACCATGAGAGACGATGGACTCTGAAAAACAAACTGAGGTTTCTAGAGGGGAGGGGGGTGGGGGGATGGGTTAGCCTGCTGATGGGTATTAAAGAGGGCACGTTCTGCGTGGAGCACTGGGTGTTATGCACAAACAATGAATCAGGGAACACTACATCAAAAACTAACGATGTAATGTATGGTGATTAACATAACAATAAAAAATTATAAAAAAAGACTTGTATCTATATTCACAAGAGACATTGGTCTACAATTTTTTTTTTTTTGCACTGTTCTTGTCACAAAAAAAGAATTGGGAACCGTTCTCTCTTTTTCTGGCATGTGGAAAAGTTGGGATAAAACTGGAATTATTTCTTCTTTAAACAACTCATAGGTGAACCTTTCTTTGTGGGAATATTACTGGTGATTGATTCAATTCTTTCAATGGTTATGGGAAGGTCTGATGCTCAGTTGGGGCCACGGGACATCAGGGGGACATCAGGTTGCTACAGTATCAAGATAATTTCATACTAGCTTATACAGAGCCACCACTCCCAACCCCCCCCCCCACCAAGTGCCAGAACCACTCCACGGCTGCCCCAGATTTCCCAGACCTTCTGATGACATACAGATCGAAGAGTTAGTGTTTGGCATAGCCGGGGTCTCTTGGACTCTGCTCAGTGCTAAGGCTGGCACCTGCTATGAATGCTCAGTGTTCTGTTGTTAGATACTTTGGTACTATGACCAGGGATGCTCATTCAGGTTTTCTCTCGAGTCGGTTTTGGTAAGTTATGTTTTTTTCTAGGAATTTTCCCAGTTCATTAAGATTTTTAAGCTATTGTCATAAAGTTATTCATAATTATCTTTTATCTTTTCTTTCTCTCAATATTTGCAGACTCTCTGGCTTTTCGTTCCTGATACTGGTTAATTGTGCTTTCTCTCTTTTTTTCTTGATAAATTTCACCAGAGGTTGTTAGTATAATTAGCATTTTTATAGAAGTAATTTTTGGTTTTGCTGATCCTTTTCATTATCTTCTGCTCTTATTTCACTCTGTCCTTCCTTCTGTTTTCTTTGTTTTACTTTACTGTTCTTTTTCCAGCTTCTTGAGATGGGCACCTCCTTACTACTTTCAGCGTTTTCTCTTTTCTAATATAAGCATTAAAAGCCATAAATTTCCTTTTAAGTCATGCTTTAGCTTACCCTGCAATTTTTAAAAAAAGTTTTTATTTTTAAGTAATCTCTACACCCAGTGTGGGGCTCAAACTCATGACTCCAAGATCAAGAGTCGCAGCCTCTTCCAACCAAGCCAGCCAGGCGCCCCTGCAGTTTTTAATATGTAATATTTCAATTCTCATTCAGTTACAATATAAAAGTATTTTATAATTTCCATTATCATTTCTTCTTTGATCCATCAGTTACTTAGAAACATACTTCTTAATTTCCAAACACATGGGGCTTTTTGAAATTATTTTTTTTTATCAACCTCTGCCTTATTTGTGTTGTGGTCAGAGGATATACTCTGTATGATTTCCAACGTTAGAAATTTCTTGAGATTTTCTACCTTTGTAAACATTCCATATGTAATTCTGCAGTTGTCACCCACCACAGTGTTCTATGAAAGTCCATTAGTCAAATTTCTTAGACCCTTATTGAATATATTTCTGTTTGTTCTACCAATTACAGAGAGGTGTGTTTTTAAGTCTCCCACTAGAATTGTGGATTTTTCTATTTTTCTGTGTAGTTCTCTTCATGTTTCCTATATTTTAAGATTATGGAATTTGCACACAAATTTGAAATTGTTCTACGTTTTTGGTGAACTGGATCATTTTCATTATGAAGTGACTTTCTTTATTTCTGGTGAGGGTTTTTGTTTTTTTTTTCCTCTCCAGTATTAAAGGAACTAGACAAGCCTTCTTTTCGTTAGCCTTGGTGTAATGTAGGTTTCCCGGGCATTTACTTACATCCTTTCAGTACCCTTACATTTGGGGGGTATCTCTTGTGGATGTCTCTTCTAAATTGCATGTAGTTGGATTTTTATCCAGTCTGATAGTCTTTGTATTTTAACTACAACATTTAGTCCACTTGCATTTATTGAATTGTAGCACATTTGAATCCATATCTGTCATCTATTTGTCCCACCTGTCTTATATTTATTTTTCTCTCTGTTCTCGCTCGGTTTAGGACTGATCTTCTCATTCTATTTTCCTCCTCTAATAATTCGGGTAAATATTATACGCTGCATTTCCATTCTTTTAGTTTACCCTGCTAATGACAACCCCGGGATCATGACCCCAGCCGAAGGCAGGCGCCCAACGGCTGAGCCACCCAGGCGGCCCGACAACTTTCATTCTTAACTCACCGAAGTCTGAGTGTATTTGGTATCTCCACTTGCCTCCTGACAAAGGATATTAGAACCCTTTAACTCCACTCATCCAAGTTATATGCTATTGTTCTTGTGCATTTTAATTCTATTTTTATCCAGAAGACATTGTTACTGTTTTATATTGTCAATGTTCATTGTTCTTTATTCCCTATTGCATCAGACTTCTGTCTGTGATCATCTTCCTCCTGTCTGAAGTTCTTCCGCTGGAATTTCCTTTAAGGAGGGTCTGCTAGTGGCAAAGGCTTAGTCTTAGTATTTGTAAATGTTATTATTTCTCCCCCTCCTGGAAAGATATTTCCACTGGGCACATAATTCTTGAAAGAAATTTGCACTGGGTACGTAATTCTAACATGATGGTTAGTTTCTCCCTGGACATTAGATAAATCATTCCAGTGCCTTCTGGCTGACTTCCGCTGCTTCTGATAAAAAATCAAGTGTAAATCTATCATTTCTTTTCTCTGTGCTCCAGACAACGGCGTTTGGACATTATTCTGAGGGAAATTAGGAGCTACGGGAGGTTTTTAAGCACTAGGGTGACCCAGTCAGATCTGCAGTGGAGAAAGCGCTCTCTGGCACTGTGTGGACACGGCTCGGAGGGAGCGGCAGCTCAGTGAGGAGGTTGTTGCTGCAGTCCAGCGGAAAGGACGAGGGGTGTGGAGGGAAGCGGGTCAGGGAAGCAGGACTTGGGAATCCACGCAGGTAGGCGGTGGGAACGCGAGGGGCGCGGTTCCCGGCGGGGAGGAATGGTGGCGCCGGAGCGAAAACAGAAGGGGGATGGGGTGGGTGAGGCAGACTCCGTCTGGGACCTCAAGATCCATTCATTCCACAAACAGTGGAAGGACTACTATGTGCCGAACGCCAAGTGCGTGGCGGCAAAACCCGCCCCGGCCACACCTGCCGCGAATTATTGCCTAGCCGGGGCCCTCCGCACAGTCGCCCACCGACGGACGGACGGACCGACGGAAGGACGAACATGCAGGCGCCTGCTCAGGGCTGGCCAAACCACGCCGCTCCGGAGCCCGGATCTAGAGGCCTCGGTCCGGAGATGCAAAACGCGGCCGGCCGGCCCCGCCCTCCCGCCGCTCTGGGGTCCGCGCGCCGGCCCCGCCCGCTCCTCTGTGGGAGGTGGGACACGTGGCCTCCGCGCTCTGCCCGTTTCTCATCGGCCCAACCGGGGCGTGTCGTTTCCGGCCTCCCAGAGTCACCGGGAGCGTTTTAAAGAAACGCCTGTCGGTATTAAGATCTCGTTCCGCCCCGGCGCCAAGCGACGCCCGCGCCAAATAAGTCCCGCGGACCGGCGCCGCGAAGCTGCGGCGCGCGGCCCACAGCTCGGCGGCGGGGCGGGGCGGGGCGGGGCGGGGTTCCATCGGGGGCGGGGCAGGGCGGGGCGGAGCCGGCGGGGAGGGGGAGGCCCAGGGGGGGGGGGCGTGACCTGCCGGGCGCGAGCCGAGCCCCCGCCCCGCCTCCTCCTCGCGCGCTCGCTCGCTCGCTCGCTTGCTCGCGCAGAGGAAAACGTTGCGCAGGTTCAAAAATGGAACGTCGGCGGCGTGAGGGAGCGCGAGGGGGTGTGCGCGCGTGCGCGTGCGCGTGCGCGCCCGGGCGAGGGTGACGGGGTCCCCGCCGGCCCGAGCATCGCGCGCCTCAGCCGCGGCCCCGCAGCTCCGCCCCCGGCCCGGCCCGGCCCGGCCCCGGGCCCGCTCGCCCGCCGCCCCGCATGGAGCTGTCAGCCATCGGCGAGCAGGTGTTCGCGGTGGAGAGCATCCGGAAGAAGCGCGTGCGGAAGGTGAGGCTGCCTGGGGGCGGCTCCCAGGACCCCTGTGGGGTCCCCTGTTGTCCCCAGCACCGTCCCTTCCACGCTGGCGGTGAGGGGGAAAGTGGGGCGGGGGGCCCAGGCAGCTCCGTGCTGCTGGGCTCGTCTCCCCAGTCTGTGCCTCAGTTTCCCCTGCCACCTTGTAGAACGAGTAGAATAAAAGTTGTCGCCCCGGCATCCTGGGGGCAGCTGAGCCCGCCAGAGCTGGAGATTAGGGTCAGACCGTAGGGATCCTGAACGCCATCCTTCCTCAACCTCCCCTCGTTCTAAATAAGGGGAGATTGAGGCCCAAGTTGAGGAAAAGGCTCACTGGTGTGTTAGCGTCGGAGCTGGGTCTCGAACTCAGGACTCCGGACTCGGTACCGAGACCTTTGAAGTTGGAGGCGGAGCTTCAGCCTCCTGCCTCTGAGGTCTAACTCTGGACTTCGACCTTTTCGGATCCCTTCTACCCCCACCTCCGGCTTTCTCCCCGTCTTGCAGCGCACACCTCTCTGTCTTCCCCACCCCAACTCTCAGCCCCACCCGGCTAAGCTCAGTGAAGCCGCCTACAGCGCTGGGGCATCCTCTAAGCTCCTCCCCCTTCCCTTCGCCTCCAAAACATACCCTGCAATTTAAGGAGGCATCTGTTCCACTGGGTTCGGGTACACGCGCCTCGGGGCTGGACTTTGGCGGTTCACACTTCCTGTGCACCTGTTTGCAGAGTGGTCACCTCAGACCGGAGGTGGGGGATGGAAACCCTTGGGGAAAGTCCTTCTGGCACTCACCACCATCCTTTTCCCTTATCTCCCCCTCTGCAGCCCCCTGGGAGGCTCCAGTGGCAGGGCTGGGAGGGGTCTTAGAGGTCACCTCCTCGTGTTTGACAGAGGCAGAGACTGAGACCCAGGCAGAGGAAATGACCTGGTCAAGGTCACACAGCAAGGTAGAGATGGAGGCAGAGCAGGAGCTCAAGTTAGCTAATTGCTAGCTCATCTTTGGAGAGAGAAAACTCAGTCCTGGCATCTTCAGCCAAGGGTGAAGGTCGAGGTGGGCCATGGGCTTTTCTTCCCCTGCTCTGATGGGGTTGAACTCTTGGGGCTGCCCCTCCTCCTTCTCCCTTCCTCCAGGATTTCCTCGATTTTAATTTATTCCACAAAGCCCAGTGCTTTCCATGCACAGTAGCCGAAGCAGCTACAGTGGTTACCCTCCTTCTCCACGGTAGTGCCAGAGAGTGAGGGACATCATTCCTTCAGCCATTCACTCAAAATATATTTATTGAGGGTCTGTTACGTACCAGGCACCATCCTAAGCCCCAGGGAAGCATACATCCCTTCCCTCATGGAGCTGCCATTCTGGCAGAAGAGACATGTAACGAACAAGGAATACATACAGATGCCTTCCAGTGGGGCTGTGTGCTATGCAGAAGGAGAGCTGGAAGGTGGGAGGGGTGGCATCAGAAAGGTTGGTCAGGGCGGGCCTCTTTGAGGAGGTGACATATCTTGGTCTTAAAGTTCCAGTGCGGATGGGGTGGGACTGGAAAGCCAGACCCCTGTCAGTGAGGAAGGGAGGGGTCAGTCTGTATTTTCTAACTACTGGAGGGGTGACCATCACTTCTGAAGGTGGAGACTTTGTTAGCCTTTTCTGGGGTCCTGCCAGGGTCTTTTGAGTTAAGAGCCCTAAAGTCACCAGCCTGTCACCCCTGGGCCAGAGGCAGCCTCTCCCAGGGAGGGGGTAGTGGGGCTAGTGCCATGGGAAACACGCCAGTGAGGAATTTTCTAGGATTTGGAGAGTCTTCTGCAAAAAAGTTAGGAGTTATGGTCTTAGCACTGGGACTCTGGGCACTGCATCTTTGGCGATACATGCCCCATGTGGTCTTAGTTTCCCCATGTGTGACATGGGCTCTGAGCTTCTGCCACAGGAGCCCCAGAAATGTTTGGGGCCAGATGCTCTCCTGTGCTTTTGCAGGAAGGACAGTCTGGGGAGTCATGCAGCAGCCAAAGTTTGGGTGTCTCTGGGTTGGTGGGGATCTGGTGCAGAGTTGGGGGGGAGTGTCCCTGGATTGTGTATGTCGTGCGGGAGCATCAGTCAGCAGAAAGTATCGGGCCTTACTGTCCTGTGAGGGGTAGTCGGGGCAGCTGTGTATCTCACACCATGTCTGCTTCTCTTTCTTCCCAGGGTAAAGTCGAATATCTGGTGAAGTGGAAAGGATGGCCTCCAAAGTAAGGCTCCTTTGTGTGTGTGTGTCTGCCTGCCTGTCCACCCTTCCATTCGCCTTTTGCCTCGCTCCCACCTAGCTTTGAGCTCCAGCCGCTTTAGTAATTGGCATTTGAACCTTGATTAAATCATCCTCTTCTCTGGGCCTCGGTTTCCCCTCTGCCAGCTCAGGGGCTAGAAGGACATGAGAGTCAGGGTGGGCCCCAACTTCTCTTCTCTCCTGCTCCCCTCTGGGTGAGGCTCCATCTTCTGGGTGGAGCCTCCCCTCCCCTCTTCTGGCTTTTCCTGGCACCTGGGAGGTGAAGGCCCAGCATCTTGGCTTCAGAGATGGCTACTGGGTGGAGGTAGAGCAAATACAGTGCTGAATAGGGGTTTGTGGGGCGGGATAAGACAAGTCTAGCCAGTGGGGCATGAGTCGTCAGTGCCATAGAGCTAGGGCCAGAGCCTGAGCCCACTTTGCCTTTGGGCAGCATTCTCCAGTCTACCAAGCAGGTTTCCGTACAGCCTTGTAAAGCAGGTAGAATGGTGATCTCTAAAGATGAGAAAACATGCTCAGAGAAGGTAAGCATCTTGCCTTAGGTCACACAGCAAGTGGTGGGACTTGAAACTGGCCTCCCCAGTTTCGGGTATCTCCTCTGTGCCTCCTCCATCTCAGAAATGGGGGGCAGATTGCTGGGTCTAGGACCTCTCCCAGTGGCTCCACCTCTCCTGCTGAGGTCCAATCAGGAACCTTCCTACTAACCAATCACCTCCCAACAGGAGGATGGTAGTGGGAGGGAATGAGCAAGTCGTGGGGCCTCTTCATTGGTTTGTGGGTGCCCTGCCTCCCTGCCCTGCCTGCTAGGGACTGACTCCTGGAAACCCCCGCTGCCCAGAGCGTCTGCTCTCTGTGCCAGGGGCTTTCTGCCGTGTTTATGTTGAGGGCTGACCTGGTATTGGATTCTGGGAGCATCTTGGGGGCCCGGTAGAGAGACACAGCAGAGGGAAATACAGCCTATGTTGCCTCAGCTTCCCGCTCTGCAAAATAGACTCTACAGGGCAGGCCCTGCTCTCCTCTCTGACGCTCCTTCATCTTTGGGGTGCAAGGCCTGGGTGCATGTGTTCAGGGCGACCTGCAGGCATCCTGAGGTTGGGGTTGGGAACTGGCCAACTAGAGAATGCACTGGTCTACTCCTGCTGCGCCTGCTGCCCCTCTCCCAACACCCTGGAACTGGAGGACGATCCTCTCCTCCTCACAGCGGATGAGACATGGCCTTCCAGCCTGGGTAAAGGAGCAGTAAGAGTTGAGGCAGAGCTAGAAAAGGAAGATGCCTAGGGTGGATAGCAGGAGCACTGACTCCCTGGGTGCACGCTCCCCCTTAGCTTCTGCACCGGAAGGCATTGCATTGGTGTGTAGTCACCAGCCTGTTGGCCTTTAAGGCACTGTTGGCGCTTTTTCCTCCTCTGTAGACTCCATCTTTTGAAAGATTTCCTTCTTTAAACAGAGGTACTTATCAATGAAAACTTCCTTCTTCCACTTTAATCCCAAATGGATATGTCTGCCTAGCAGGGCTTCAGCCAGGAGAGAAGGGCCTAGCACTCCAAGAGCAGCCCCTCATGTTTCTGCTGGCCTGAGCCCCTGGCCCTGCTGCCACTTGTTTCGTCACATGCTGAGACCACCAGGTGGGCCCTAATGACTGCCTCTTGTGGCTCCCCAAAGGGGTTCTGGGAGCCCGGTTTGACCAGATGACCTGGGGCACCCCTGGCTCCCCTGCACTTTGGTCCTGGGTTCCTGGCCAGGCTCACAGCTGTCGAGGTCCACAACGTGGTGGGCCCTCTGCTTCCTGATTTACAAATCAGAATAATGAAGCCTCTGTCACAATACTGTTGTGAGGATTAGGTGATGGAGGTGAAGTACCTGGTGCATTCTCAGATGACCAGGCACTTAGGAAATGTTTGCTGTTAATACAAAGTTAGATAGCTCAGCTTCTAGATCTCCCTGCAGCCAGGAAAGGGGTCTGGGAGATTCCATTCCTCATAGGAGCTCAAAGTAGCCTTAGAAATGGTTTAGATCAGTCCTCAGAGGGGTAAACTGAGGCCCAAAGAGGGGAGAGCATGACAAGAATATAACTTCCAACCCCATGCGGTGTGTTACCTATTTCCTGCTACCCACTGCATCACCCCACTTCACTTGGGGGAAAACAGGTTCAGTCAGGGGGAGAAGCAGGAGAACGCGGGCTCCTTTGTAATCCACTTGGGCTTTAGTCTCCCCTCCTCGGGGGCCCTTGCTTGGAGAAGAGGCTGGGAAAGAGGGTGGGAGTGGGGACTTGGGTAGGCTGTTGCTTGCAGGTCTGGGAGCCTTGGCTACGGTAGTGCCAGCCTTGGTGGGGAGAAAAGTCAGATTTTCCTGCTCAGCAGCACCTTCTTTGCCCTGGTCCAGGAGGCTCATATTAATAACAGAAAGCATAATTTAGATACACACTCACTCTGTGCCAGGCCCCTGTTAGACCATTACATGCTTTGTCCATTTTCTCTCCCCAGCTGCAGACAAATGACTGCCCTTCTTCCCCAGCAGATGGGGCAGAGGAGCTATCTTGTTTGTTCTGGAAGGTACAGCAAATTGCCCAGGGAGGGGCTGGGGGCACAGGGCAGAGGATGTTAAATCATCAGTTCCAGCCTCTCTGACCCACAGAGACCCTCAGATACCCCACTGATTTCAGCCTGCCCAGGACTGCTGTTCCCCCCTTGGAAATGCATTCTTTCCTTCTTTTCCCACTTGTGAATACTACCCCATCTTTTAGGGAGGACTGCCTCTATGGAGATTTGGTAATGATATTGTCGGTGGGCGCAGCAATAACCAGGCTGCTCATCGGTAAGCACCTTGTATGAGTCAGGCATTGGCCCATTTTTAATTGCCTCATAGCAACCCATTTTGCAGATGGGCACACAGAAATCCCCAGCAGAGGAGTCTGTGCTCAGGGTCAAATACAGCTGGGATGATTTGAACTATGGTTTACCTGATCCCAGGGCTTGGGGCCTAGTCCCTGTGATACACAATCAGTTCTGCCAAAGGTGACTGAGGATCTTTCGCCTCTTCCTCTCTTGGCCATTCAGTAGGAAGTGCTCAGGCTTTGGAGCCAGACCAGGCTGCCTTTGAACCCTAGTTCTGTAGATTTACAAAGCCCTCAACCTCTGCACCTCCATTTCTCCACCTGTCAAATGAGACCCTAGCCTCACAGGACCCTGGGGAAGGCTGCCTGAGACAAAAGTTTCCTAGCCAGGGACAGAGGAGGCGTGCCTTCCTCTTCCAACGCTGGGTTTTGGGCACCAACAGCAGAGTCCAGGGTTCTGGCCTGGCAGGTGTTCGCACTCTATCGGAATCGATTTAATTAACGTGTATTTGCTTTTACTATGTATCACACTGAGCTAAGTGCTTCATATGGCTTAGCACATCTAATCGTCACATTAAGCCCCAAATTCAGGGACCTTTTGGTAGTCCCACTTCACGGATGAGTAAACGGAGGCCCCAGCGGCGGACGAACCTGCGCACCGCCGCGCCCCTCAGTCTCCGACCTAAGCGCGCCACGCTGCTTCTCTTTTGGGGGGACTTTAAATTGGAGGGGGGGACTGGGGCGGGCCTGGCTTTGGGGGGCCCCGCCCCCTGCACGGCGGGAGCCTGCGCAGCGCGGCTCAGGCGGGGCGGCCGTGAGCCTGTTTACCCGGGCTCGGGGGCGGGGCGGCCGGTCACGTGGCCGTGTTTACCTCGGGGCTGGCGCGCGCCGTCCCGCCCCCGCTCCCTATTGGCTGGCCTGGTAATCCGGGGCGCGCCCACCTCCGTGCGCGCGCGCGCGCGCGCGCGCGCGGCGGCTGCGCTGCAGGGGGCAGGGCGGGGCAAAGTGGGGCTCTCCGCCCCCCACGGAGCGCTCGGTTCCCGGCCTGCCCGCGCGGGTCCCACTGTTCGCTCCACCCCGCCCTGCCGCCCGCCGGCTGTGCGCCCCGGTCCTGCCTGCGCCTAGCTCTTCCCAAAGCGCCTTTGCCCTCGCGTGGCCCCGGCTCCTCACATGGCGGAGCAGGGCTAATGGCCTCCACTTTAGGGGGCGGGGGTGTCCGGAGAGGGAGACGCTAGTGCAGACCCCCAGGCTTTCTCTCCCGCAGCATGGAGCCGGACCAGGCCTCCTGCTGCTTGCTTCGTCTGACCCTGTCCCACTGTTATACACCTCCAGCTGCCCCAGCCCAGTAACCATCCCCGCTGAATCCACTGAGCCTTTCTGTGCACCCCCTGTGTGCAAAGCCCCGGTCAAACACAGGACGTGGTCAGTCAGGCACTATCGACATCACAGACCGGTGGGGAGACAAATGTAGTGACAAGTGAGAGACCCCGAGGTAGAGGGTAGCCAAGATTCAACAGTTCCAACCACAGACTAGCCGCTTACTGTCTCGACGACCTTGGCAAGATGCTTACTCTCTGTGCCTCCCGTTTCTTCATCTTTAAATAGGGTAACCTACCCCCATGGTGGTTTTATGAGGAATAGATGAGTCCCTGGCAGTGAGTTGTGCTCGTACCATGATGGTGGGGGTGGTGATTCTTAAGATGAGGAAATTGAGGTCCAGAGAAGGTTAGGGACTTGCCGGGAACCACACAGCACCCACATCAACAAAAAATGGGCAAGGCAGTGGGGAAGTGGGTAGGACAGAGAAGCCTAGAACACTGTAGAGACATCTTAACAGCTAGAGGAGAGAGGGCAAGGCAGAGGACACGGGAGGAACACAAAATTCCTCCTTTCTTGTAACTAGTTAACAGCTGAGGAAATTTAACCTTTGTTTTGGAGGAGGAAGTTTTGGAGTCTATGCCAGTTTCTGATTCTTGTACTTTGGGCCTTATGCAAACTATCAAAAAGCCCCAGTTTCACTTTTAGCATTTCTTCAGGGTGAGCAAAACTCTGCAGTGGCTTCTATAGCCATTCCCAGAGCACCTAGGGTCTGGGGCTGGGCACCCTGGGGTGGGAGCTTATATAGCCTGCCGGCCAGGATGCCAGCTGGATTCATCAGTAATTTTGGCAGGTGCCAAGTGCACCAGGCTGTGGAGAGCAGCAGAGGGGAGGGTGCGTTCTGAGGGGAGTGAGACAGCTTGAGGAGGAGGTCAGGGGAAACTACAAGGGCCTGGCTCCTGAAGGATGGGGAGGAGGTCAGGGAGGGACTGGCCCTCAGGTGGAGAGAACAGCCGGTGCCAGGGAGGTGTGACTATGCCTGATCAGGCTGTGCGTGGGGTGGTTGGGTAGGGACTGTGAGGTCCTCAGGGCTTGGACCTTTGTTGCGGAGTGCACAGAGCCCGACACGGGCCCCGACACAGAGTAGGTGTGCAGAAATGTCAGTGGAAGGAAGGAGGAAAGGATTCTGTTGTTGGAATCTGGATTGGACTACTGGTAGCTGTCAGTGTCCCAGGACGGTTTAGTTTGGCTGGTCCGGAGAGAGCAGGAGCAGGAGCTCCAACCGGCCTCTCTCTGCCTCCTGACACCTGCCTAAAACCTGCTCACCTCCCTTCTTGTCCAGCAGAGCTGCGTGCAGCCTGGGCCAGAATCACAGTCCGTTGCTTTGGTGTGGTTTGTACATATACGTGTATGCACGTGAACATATATGTGTGTCTATATGTTTGTGCATATGTTGTATGTTTGAAAACATGTATGTACAGACACATTCAGGTATGTGTTTTAAAACTTTTCATTTTTTATTCATTATCATCTGTTTATGGTGAGTGACACTAGTGTTTCCGTTTATGGAAGTCATAAAGGTTTTTTTTTTTTTTTTTTTTTTTAGTAATCTCTACACCCACTGTGGGGCTCAAACGCACGACCCAAGACCAAGAGTCACATAGCTCCTCTGACTGAGCCAGCCAGGCGCCCCTAAAGTTTGTTTTTAAAATAAAATTATTAAACAAAAAAAGTGAGCTGCTTTAAAGGCAGGTGTTAAGTAAATAGCAGTGCAGGTGGAACAAAGATGGCTTGAGCTGTGGAACCGCTGAGCTGTCACTCCCAAGTCTGGCCCACCAGGGGACGCTCTGTGGTCTGGGGGTGGTGGAAGGTCCCCGCTGGAAATACCGATAGCCATCTACCCAGTTCCTGCTGCGTGCCAGGCCCTGCTGTGAATGTACAGATGTGTGCCAAGGAGGGACGGAGCAGCTCAGCCCAGGCAGAGGAGGCCTGTGCGGGGTGGGGGTGGGGGGGCAGCAGCCGTAAGCACTGGGCACTGCACTGGGCACTTAGATGAACAGCACAAGAGTTCTTTACTGATAGAGAAATGGAGGCACAGGGACGTTGAGTAAATCCTTCAAGGTTGGACAGCTAGCAAGGGCCGAGCTGGGATCTGAACCCAGGCAGTCTGGCACCAGAGCCGCTGCCCTTGGCCACATGCTCAGGCCTCTCGGGAGAAGGGAGTCCTGGGAGCAGTGCCCTGTGCTTCTGAGCATGAGGTCTAACTGGGTGTTGGACGCGGTTATTTGTAGGGTGGTGTGATCAGTGATCGTTGCTCAGAATGAGGGGAGTTCTGGTGTCGTCGGAGCTGCCTGACCTGGCCTGGGCAGCCCGGGACAGCTTCTGGGAGTAGGTGACAGTTATGCTGGACCAGGAAGGGGGCAAGAGCCTGCAGAGGGCCGGCCCCAGTGGAGCAGATGTAGCGTCGGGGAATGCCGGTGGGGAGCAGGGCAGCTTCTGACCTCCTGTTTCTCTCCCCAGGTACAGCACGTGGGAGCCGGAAGAGCACATCCTGGACCCCCGCCTGGTCATGGCCTATGAGGAGAAGTAAGGGGGCCTCAGGCTGCCACTGGGGCTGGGCATAAGGCAGGCTTTGAGGTTTCATAAGGAGCCTGCTGCAGGCTTGTCTCTGAATGAGGGGCAGGGGCATGGGGGTGGCGGGGGTCTAGTCTGCAACTGGGAGAAGGGGGTGGGCATCAGGTCCCAGGGCAGCTGAGGGACCTGGTGCCCTTTCCTATTGCTGAGTGATGTCTGCCACTTCTCTAACCTCCCCAGGCCTCAGTCTCTCTGCTGTAAAATGGGCCATCCCTAATAACACTGGCTCTGATTCCCCCAAAGGTAGGGCTTTCAATTGCTGTGAAGGGTATAAAAATGCTTTACAGAGATACCCTGTGTGAGGGGCAGCAAAGTCCATAATGGGCAGTCATGGTCTTGGCGACAGATTCAGAGAGAAATTCTCCCCAGAGACTCTCACCAAGAGAAGGAAAGTCTGGTGAAGCTTGAGAAAGGCCTGGGGAGGGACTGTGGCTTTGGAGCAAGGATGTCTGAGTTCTGGTCCGTCCCACTTGGCCACCTCCCAGCTCAGTGGCCCTGGACAAAGCTCCCCCGGGCCTCAGTCTCCCTTATTTGCCAATGCTCTGCTCTGATTCCGAAGGCTGGTTAGTGATTGGCAGCTCCTCTGATGGGCAGAGAGGGTGCAGGCTCTCGGGAGAGTCTTTGACAAAATGTTGTTTCTCCTGATGTGGGAGCCTTTTGAGTCTAAACATCCCCGTTTGCTGTAGGACCCCCAGCTTTACCGACCTCCCTGCCAGCAGGCAGCCCCAATCCTTCTGTCTTTTCCCATCCTGCCCACTGTACAGGGTGGGATCTTGGCACAAAATCATTTCCATTTGGCCCTTTGCGGTAACCTCCTGAGACGGGGATGAGAGTCTCATCTGACGGATGAGGAAGCTAAGGCTCTGGGAGCTAAGTAGCTTGTCAGGGGGACCTCACAGCTGGGAAGCCACCTAACTCAGGCCTCCCGACTCCCAGTCAGATGCCCTTCCCCTGCCCTTCCTTGCCCCCTTCCCATTGATTCTCCCCAGGAAGTGTCCTGCTGCCCATTGCAAGGAAAACTTTCCCCTGTTCTTTCCTTTAAAAATCAGGGTGTCCCTGTCCCACAGCTTTTCTCTGGCTCCTGGGCGCTTGGTGGGGCCTTGATCTAAAAGGATTGTGGTGCTTGGGAGAATCCTGTGGAGTGTCCTGGACTGCAGTGAGGAGAGTGTCAGGCAGGTGTCCAAGTCCTGAATTAGAGTCCTGGCTCTGCCACTCGCCAGCTGTGTGGTGGTGGGCAAGGCCTTCTGCCTCTTGGGGCCTCATCCTCCCCATCTGTGAAGTGGGCTTATGGGGCTCTCATGCGGAGCAAGGTGTATGAAAGCACTTTGTAGACCAGTAAGTGTGGGAGCACGTGTGTGAATTATCTCCCTGATGGTAACTAAGGGTCATTCGTTTGCTTGTTCAACAAGTCTTTATTGAGGTTCTGCCATGTATCAGATACTGTTCCAGATGCTGGGGACACAGCAAGGAGCAAAACCAGTGAACATCCCTATTCTCACGGGGCTTGAATTCCAGTGCAGAGACACACAATAAAAAAAAACACCAATAAATGTATATGATATCAGATGGTCATAACTATTGCAAAGACAGGGTTGGGGGCAGGGAGAGGGGGTGGGTGGGGGTGCAGGGATCAGTGGGGTGGCTGGGTGGGGGTGTTTGACCATAAACCTGGATTACGTGAGGGAATGAGCCCAGCAAGTATTTTCGAGGAGGACATCCCGGGTAAAGAGAACAGTGCAAAGGCCCTGGGGTGAGAGCCAGTGTTTAAGGAACAGCATGGAGGCAAGCATGGCTCTGAGTGTGGCCGGCTGGAGTGGTGTGAGCTGGGTGAGGTGGGGGAGAGGAGGCAGGAGTAGGGCAGCTGAAGGAAGGGGGAACACAGCTCTGGGAGTGCCACATAAGTCCTGGTGGAGTATTTGGATCTTATTTTGAATGAGTCAGAAAAGTCAACAGTTAAGGAACAAAAGAAGAGCTTGGAGACTTTTACAGACCCACTGCGTGTCTTTTGGCCTACTTCTTCTCTCCCAGTCTTGGTGAAGAGGAGGTAAAAGAGGGATGCTGTCCACCTAACACCTGCCTTGCAGAGTTTTAAAGAGATTCAGAAGGAGTCTGGCAAGGGGGCTCTTCTGCGGAGTCCCGCCTGCAGGGAGACGCCAAGAGGGTGCGACTCCAGGGTGCCACTGCCCTGCGGTCCTGGGTGTTGATGGACAGGATCCACGTGGGTGGTGAGGACTGGAGAGAATGGATCCCTCCCCCTTTACACGCGCACACGCACGCTGCGGATCGGAAACCAGGATCATGTGGCCTGGGTTCATGGCCTGCCCTGCTGGCCCTGACTGGACCCTGGGCCTGGCCCTCACTAGGCCTGGAGCCCAGAGCTCAGCGGCCGACGTTGTCAGAATTTTGGCATTGGGCCAGTGACTTAACCTCTCTGTGGCTCAGTTTCCACGGCTGTAAGGTGAGGAGAGTGACCATGGCTCCCTCGCAGGGTGGCCGTGCGGTTAGATAGAGGGCTGCCTTGTGCAGAGTGTCCGGTGTGTGATGATCATATAAATACCAGAAACACTCTACCATCGTTACTCTTTCCCCTCCAGCCCTCCCCCCCCCCCGTCTACTTCCTCTTTCTCTCTCCTTTCTCTTCCCTCTCCCCCCTGCCCCCCTTTAGTATTTTAGCTTGCCTACCCTCCATTTTGATAAATCCCAGGGACCTCTCTTGTTCCTCCCGAGAGCCCCGGTGGCCAGGGGAGAAGGGACTCTCTTGCCCCAGACGAGGACACTGAGGTCCAGAGGAGAAGCGACCGGCCAAGATCTCCCGTGGGTCAGGGTAGAGCTGGGCCTGGAACAGGGTGTCCTGGGGCCCAGCACCGGCTTCTGTGAGAAGAATCTCACCCTCAGAGGCTGGCAGGTGTATCCCGGCAGGCCAAGTGGCGGGTGTCACAGTGTGATCAAATGCTGGCTCCGGGGCCCCACAGCAGGCCGACTCCCCAAGGAGGGAGGGAGGGAGGGCCCAATACGCCCTGAGGGCGGTGCTGCCCCGAGGAGGGAGGAGGAGGGAGGAGGACAAGCGGTGGAGGGGGCTTCCTGGGGCTGGGGCTGCTTTCCCCCAGCTCAGATGGAGAGACTGCCTGGGGTCACACAGCCTGTGTGGGGAGGGAGGGTGCGCTCCCGGCCTCCACATTCTCGCTGCTGCCGACAACCGTGGCCTCTGCAGCAGGGGCCGCAGAAAGTGGGGTGGGATGAAGTGAAATCGGCAGAAGGAATATGGCTCTGACGTTTTCCGCCACTCCCGGCACTGCTGTCGGAGTCTCTGTTGTGTTGTGTCGTGTGTGTCGTGTGTGGCTTTGTATGCATCCTCGGGTTGTGCCTGTGTGTTTGGGATGTGGGGAGGGCACCCCGCAGAGAGTCTGGCACCTACTAGGGACTCAGTGCAGGCGAGTTTCTCTCCCTTTCCCGAACCAGATGATACAGGCAAGAGCCTGTCCTCTCCACCAGGGTCATGCAGGTCCCAAATGGGGAAAAACCTGGGCAGAGCTTCACTTACAAGAGGACCATTCCCAGTTTTACCAGCTCCCCTGGGACCCTGGAGGCAGATTTGATTGACAGGTTTCTGTACCACTCTCCCGAGAGTGGAAGCCAGATCTGCATTGCTTTGGAGGCTGTACCCAGTGGCATGGAGAGCAGAGCTCCGGTGTGACTCTGGAGCCCAGTAAACACCCACATACTTTTGGAGACATCACCCAAGTCCCACCTCAGTGATTAGGACCAGTGACTGTACCCGCCCCCCCAGTTTGGCCAGATGGGAAGACCGAGGTCCTGGGATTTGAACATGGGGCCCCACTGTTACGGTGTAAAGAGAGCAATGGGGAGGAGTCCATACCCTAGGATTGGGGGGTGGCCTATGGCGGGTGCCCCTTTGCCCATAGACAGCAGAGTGTGAGGTGGAGCGGATGCTTTACTTTCCCTTAAATGTCACCAGTGTTTGCTTTTCTTCTGCCATCTGCTTTGCACCCCAGGGAGGAGAGAGACCGAGCATCGGGGTATAGGAAGAGAGGCCCGAAACCCAAGCGGCTTCTGCTGCAGGTAACCCCGCCAGCCTTGGTGCTCGTCCACAGGTGCCCCTGCTCCTCCCACCAGTCTCCCCCATCCTGTGCATTTGCACCAGCTAGTGGAGCTGAACCACCTATCGTCCTTGCTCTGCCCAGGGCACTGTGGGGTGGGAGCCCTTAGTGGGTAAGTCTCCACAGGGGGAGGGTGGGGAAGGAAGACAGCCTTGGGGGGGGGGAGGTGCTGTGGGGTTTGGGGGAGGGTGGGTATATGGCTGATGGGAGCCTAAAATTTTGAAAGCTTAGAATCTTGTAAATAAGCCTTTATGAGACTCAAAGTCCCCAAAACATTGTAATATTTGTAGGACCTCAGAAACATAAACTTTAGGATTGAGGAAACGTGGGAGCCTAGAGTTTTAGAACCCAAGAAAGGGAGACTCAGAATTCTGGAACTGTTGTCTTGGGATGCCCTAGGAATGTGGCATTTTTGAGAAAGGAGAAACCTACGGGCCCCCTTTTCCAGGCCTCTGCCAGAGATGGGCATCTAGACTCCAGAACACCTCAAGTTACCCAGGTCTTGGGGCCACTTTGCTGACTTCACTGCTTTGCTTGGGAAGCGGGTGGAGTTTGAAATGATGTGGTATGAGGCAAGTCTCTTTGCCTCTCTGAGCTTGAATTTTCTCATCTGTAAAATTGGGATGATAAGCATACCTGCTCTCCTTAATGGAATAAGTTTCACCCAGGTGTTCGAAGCCAAACGATAGGGCTTCTCGGTCTACACAGTGTGAGCCATGGCCAGTCTCCTGCCCACCCTTGAGTATAGATCACCTGAAGCTTTGGACAGAAAAGATGGGTTTCCCTTCACGCAGTGGGCATTTTCCATGGGGTTTGGCATGAATTGGGTCCCAGGAAGGAAGGTAGTATCTGTCTGTCGGACGTCTTCCCCGAACTTAGCAACTTAGAGCAGTAAACACTTAGCATATCACAGTCGGGTGGGTCAGGAATTCAGGAGTCCTGTAGCTGGTTTAGTGATTCTAGTTCACGTTACAGTCGTGATATCAACTGGCGCCCACTCATCTGGATGTTTTACTGGGGCGGGGCTGTCTGCTTCCAAGGTGGCTACTCAACGTGCCCACAAGTCAGCACTGGTTGTTGACAGGAGGCCTGGTACTTTCCATGTGGACCTCTCCGAGGCCTCCTGGGTGGCCTCACAGTATGGCCACTAGCTTCCCCCAGAGCCAATGATCCAAGAGCGAGAGCAAGGGAGGAGCACAGTGTCTTTAATGAGCTAGCCTTGCAAGTCCCACACCACAGCACCCGGGGCCCGAGGGGACCTGGGTGTGAATTGCTTGAGGCGGGCCTTGCTGGGGCAGTCTCAGAGGCCGGCCACTGCTATTTCTTCACCATCACAGATGGTGATTCCTTCATTCCTCAGATGAAGAAACTGAGGCTTTAGGAGGCCAGGAGTTTCCCCGGGGTGACACAGCTGGATTCAAACCTAGGTCTGACTCCGGGGGCTCCTGGATGCCTGTTAGTAGCTGCGGTCCTCCCTTGGTGAGGTGGAGAAGGGCCAAGACCAAGCGCATTGCAGTGTTGAAGTTTACTGGGCTCGTGATGGCCGCTGCGCCAGGCTGAAGGAGCAGGTTTTGATTGAGCTGCAATAGGATAAGCCTTCCAGACATGGTAGTCCTGTCCCGACCTCTCCCTGGCCAGCCCTCCTCCTGTCCCATAACAACCTGTGTCCCCGGCCGAGTGATGGGCATTAGTGGGCAGGACGGGAGAACGGAGCCTGTGTGTGCGATTTCTGCTCCCAGCTGGGGGACGTTTGACCTACAGGCCCCATCTCATGGCCTCATTCTCTTCCTGGGGGCTCTTGGCCTCTGGTGACATGAGGCAGCAGAAGGTACTGTCCCGGAGGGATCCAGGCCCTCCCAACACCTTAGCACCAAGGATCTTTCTTGGATCTTTACACATCTTGGCCAAAGTCAATAAAACAAATCCCTAGAGTACAAAACTCCAGCCCTTAAGTGGTGGAACACGTGCCCTCCAGCCCCATCCTAACAAGAGTGCCATGTGGCATCTGCAGAGGGCTGGGCCCGCAGCTCCGAGCGGAGGAGTACCCCAAGAATCTTAGGGCATCCGCCTCACACCATCTCCTTGGCCTGCTGGCTGTTTCAGCCTTGGGGGTCCTTTAGTAGGCAAAAATTCCTTCCCCGTGATGAAGAATAAGTCCTTAGTTTATCTGCTTCATAAATCCAGATTTGCTTTTTCTTGGTCAATTTTCAGTCCGTACTCTTGGATGCTCCTCTGCTGTGCAGCCCTGTCCCTGAGCCACCTGCACCTCCCCACCCCGGAGAGATGAGGTGGCACCAGGCTGGGGCTGGGGCTGGTCAGGGGTAGCTTTCTGGGCTGGGGTGGGGGCTGGGGTAATGGCTGGCTCTGGGCCATGCAGCACAGAGAAAGGCACTCCAGGCGGGAGGAACAGCATGAGCAAAGGCGCGGCAGCGGCCGGGAGGGCAGGGCTGACCCGCCGTGCCCTGGCTTGCCCCCGCAGCGGCTGTACAGCATGGACCTGCGGAGCTCCCACAAGGCCAAGGGCAAGGAGAAGCTCTGCTTCTCCCTGACGTGCCCACTCGGCAGCGGGAGCCCTGAGGGGGTGGTCAAGGCAGGGGCGCCCGAGCTGGTGGACAAGGGCCCCTTGGTGCCCGCCCTGCCCTTCCCGCTCCGCAAGCCGCGCAAGGCCCACAAGTACCTGCGGCTCTCACGCAAGAAGTTCCCGCCCCGCGGGCCCGACCTGGAGAGTCACAGCCATCCACGGGAGCTCTTCCTGCAGGAGCCAGCAGCCCCGGACGTCCTGCCCGCGGCCAGCGAGTGGGAGCCCGCTGAGCAGCCCCCCGAGGAGGAGGGTAAGGTGGCCCCTCGGCCCCGTCCCAGAGCCCCTGAGAGCTGGAGAGTCCCCTTGAGTCGTCAGGTCCAATTGCTACAGTGCCCAGAGAGGGCCCAGGGTGCTCTTGAGGCCACACAGCCCGCGGGGGCCCTGGCACCACCCCAGCTCTTCTTGTGGTCCCGCTGTGGGGGGGGGGGGTCCAGGCAGGGAAGACACTCCTCCTGGGTGTCCAGCCTCGAGCTAGGCCTGGGGCTGGAGCCCGTGCTAGGCGGGCGGGGTTCTGGATGCCCCCGCCCCCCTTCCGTATGGTGTTGTCAAGGCCGTGCTCACCTCTCCGTCTTTCTGTCTTTCTCCCGTGCCTGCCACAGATGCAGACCTGGCCGAGGGGCCCCCTCCTTGGACACCCGTGCTCCCCCCAAGTGAAGTGACAGTGACCGATATCACCGCCAACTCTGTCACCGTCACCTTCCGCGAGGCCCAGGCGGCTGAAGGTTTCTTCCGGGACCGCGGCGGGAAGTTCTGAGTCACCATTTTTACTCTTCGTAAACTGTTTGCTTTTGGGCTTGGGGTGGGGACTTCCAGAGATGGGGAGGGGTTGGGGGCGGGGTAATTATTTTATTTAAAAAAACATGGAACAGGAGCAGGGGGCAAGATCCCGACACCTTCCCGCCACCTCGCCCGTTTCTCTGCGCCTGATGTTTACAGAAAGGCTCGGTGGTCTGTTTTGGGGGCTGGGGCTGGGGCGGCCTGGCATCGCCCTGCCCAGGAGGGGGTCATCTCTGGGCCAGGATGGAGACAGGGCCACCCATCCCTGGACACCTCCATCATCATTCTTCTCTAGAGACGCAGCAGCAGGTCCCAGGAACCAAAGGAGAATGGGAGGGCCCAAACCCTCTCCCTTGAGCCCCCCACTCCCTCGTTTCTGGTTAGTCTCCCTTTTCCTTTTTTGGGGGTGGGGGGGGTCTTTATTTTTAACTTTCCACTCCAGCTTTGCGGTGGGACATAGAGGCTGGCTTTGACCAAAAATGACCGGGTCAAGACGAGGGGCCAGGAGGAAGGCTTTGCGGTTGTTGGGGTGCATCCCATACCCTTCCCTGGGTGTGGCTGCCAGCTGAGCCCCTTCCACTGGGAGCCCCCCCCCCCCCCCACATCACCTGGCCTGTGAAAAACACTCATGTGCACACCCAGCCACACAGGCATGCACACCCGGCCCCGGGACCCCGTGACTGTGGGCAGTGTGTCTGCAGATGCGCACAGTGGGTCTTGTAAACCTCCTGTTTAGAACCCTGACCTGGTAAATTGTGGGGTGACTCCCAGTGCCTCAGAACTTGTCACGGGCACCCCACGCTTACCAGCCTTGCCCAGCACGTCATGTGACAGGATCTCTCCCGACTCAGTCTGCTCACAGCTGTCTGCAGAGGGCCGGATGGCCTCCGAGGCTCCAGGCATGCATTGTGGTTCTTTGGCTTTACCTGGCCGGCCGCAGGTACGCCGTGGGTCAGCACAGGCTCTGAGGCACATGGGCCCTGTCCTGCCTCCCCCGAGGGGCTCTTGTTTTCTCTGACTCAGGTGACTTTTCAACCCTACCCATTCCTCTCTTTTGCTGCCCTCCCAGAGAGGGAGGGAGCATCCCACCACCTTCTCAGGGCAGCCTTCAACTCCTGAAACCCTTCCTCCTTCCATTCTGTGTCCCCTCCCCATTCATCTTAAATGCCACAGCTGGGAGTGACCTAGTGTTCCTGGGGGGGACCTCTGCCATGTCTTCCTGCAGTGGGGCTGCAGTGGATGGTGGGTCAGGCTGTGTATGAGCCCCTGCCTGCCTGGCCAAGGGCTGTGGCCGCCAGGAGGAGGGGCTCTCGCCTCCTGGTTTGCACAGGTGTGCACTGTGGCCAAATAGCTTCCCAGGCCTCGAGGTGGGGCTGGGCACCGGGGGAGCAAAAGTAAAAGGCTGGCTCCCTCCACCCTTCCCCCATCATCAGAGTTGGGCACTGGGGGGAGGGGCCCTGCCTGCCCTCTCCCAGGGCCCCCTCCCCACTCTGCTTTGTCCTGAGGAAGTCAGCAGAATCCCGCTGAGGCGAGGATAGGGTGATTCTTCTCCCAGACCCCTTCTTCCCAAGTTCCCAAACCAAAGACAGCCTGGACCCCGTTTTTGTTTGGGGTGCCCTGCTGGCAAGATTCCTAAATCCCTGAGTCTCTCCCCTTCCTCCTTAATCCTTCGTTGTCCAGGGTCAATTCAGTGCTTCCATTCGGGGGTGGTCCCCTTTGGTTGTTCCTCCCAGCCTAGGAAGTTGACTCTAGAGGAGTATGTGAGGGTGGACCAGGGAAGGAGGGGCAGCAGAACTCCCCCCCCCAACCCCACCCTTTCCAGCTGTGAGACCCTGGGTCCAGGAAGGGCAGCCTGGAGTTGGGGGGCTCTCCCAGGACACGGGCTCCCAACAGATGTGAGGGTGGTGGAGCGGGGGCGGGGCCGGGGGGGCCTCTCTAATCGAATGCTATTGGCCATGGCTTTGGGGCTGGGCTGGCGGCTTGCAATAGAAGGCATACGCCCCATCCCCCAGGGGACATGGGACCTCTTCCTGCCTCATGGGCACTTTCGAAGAGCGGTTTGTGCAATTTGCGGGCTCGGAGGGTTCTGGGGGGGCCGTTTGTGGGGTGAGACAGCTGATGTTCTGTCTGCTGCAGCAGGATGCTTCTTGCCTCTTCCTCAGCCCTTTAAGGCGTGCAGAGTGTCCTGCGTCTCAGAGAGGGGCTCCCCACGGCTCCCCAGGATGGAGACCTCTGTGAGGGGCTGGGTGTGGTCTTGCAGGCCTTTGCCCAGCCCTGAGCGTCCCAGCGGGGCCTGGGACACTGAGCTCCCACCCCACCCCACCCCATCCCAGAAGGCCAGTACTCTCAGCCGGGGGGGGGCGGACGCTTAGAAAAAGTTGGACCGTCTGTCTTTCCTTCCCCAGCCCCCACCCATTTTGAATGTAGAGAGCCCGGTCGGTACTTCCCTCTTGCTGTGGGCTGGGGCGAGGAGAGGTTTCCCCCACCCCTGGCTGGGCCACTTGCAACGCCCAGCCGGACCCTGTCATCCCTCCAGGGGGGTGATCCCATCGCTGACTCCCCTCCTGCAGGGGGAGGCGCTATGCCCATGTAAGGTGGCTTAGCTTTGCTTTGTAAGTGGCCGGCCTGACCCCCACATCTCAGCACAAGAAGGCTGCCTTTGCACGGAATGAGCGTCGAGCTTTGTTCAGACAACGTGAATGTATTTGGGAGGGTTGGGGGCGCGGGCTGATTCCAAGCACATGCCTTTTCTGAGTGAGTGTGTGCTGGGAGGGCTAGAGCGGATGCAGAGCGCGGTTTATTTTTGTACTGATATTGGTAAGAGACTGTATAGCATCTATTTATTTAGATGATTTATCTGGTAAATGAGGCAAAAAAATTATTAAAAATACATTAAAGATGATTTTGAAAAAAAGCTCTCGCATTCAAGCCTTCGCTCTGGCAGTGTCACAGCTGGGCCGAGGGAGGAGCTCCAGTCCCCAGGGTGGCAGCCTGGGATGGAGGTCCCGGGTCTGCCAGTTACCAGCCATGATCTTAGGCTGGCCAGCCCATTTTCGGAGACCTCCAGATGTACAGTGAGATGAATTGGGGTGGGGGGTGGGGAAATGGAAGCTGGCGCAGAGATGGGCAGATGCCCACCGTGGGGGTCCCTGCAGGGAATCATCAAAGGTGGAGCGGGGCTTCTGATCTCTTCACCTTTTCTCTGCTTCCTGTCCAGTGTGTTCTATTCTAGAACCCAGGGTGGGGGGGCGTGACGGGGAGGGGGTCAGTATCCCGAGTCTTTGTAATTGTAGGTTCTGGAACGCAGGACTGTCTCGAGCTAACGGTCCTCTGCTGTGTAGCCATGCTCGGCGCAGCTGTCTGAGCCCAGAGGGTGTGGTCGGGGCCAAAATGAGTGACAGCTGGGAGAGTCCTCTAAGTTTCTCTGCATTTAGGTTCACTCCGGGCTCAGGGTAGAGACTGGACGGGAGCACGCAGGGCTGGTGACAGAGAGCAGGTAAGAATCAGCTCACGTCCCGGCCCTCCTCGCGGCCACCCAGGTGGGGAGTGATGGTGGCCACAGCTATGGACATGTCCATGGAAGGGGGGGAACGGAGAGGCTGGAGGCGGACTTAGGTGGTAGAATTGTCGAGACCGGGGCAATGATTTGGTGGGAGGGTTAGGGAGGCGTCACGATTATGCCCGGGCCTCTGGTTCAGACAACCGAGTAGATGGTGGTTCTTCATCTGGATGGAGGCTGAAGGAGAAGCAGCATTGGAAGTACCTTGGTGACCCCCAGAAGCAGAGCCTACGACAGGGGTTTTCTCTGGGGAGTGATCCCAGGAGCAGGAGTGAGGGAGTAGCATGGGTCAGGGAAGGAAGAAAAGCCATGGGAAGGTGCATTACTGAGGTCACCGTGTCCTTCCACCTGGGATGACCTGGCAAGTACAGCTACGTCTCCCAGACTTGTCCATTCCCAAATGCTCCCAGGAACGGGAGCATTCTTCACTGCCTGCCATCCATCTCAGGCCAAGGGTTGCCCCCGGGTGCGCTAGCCCAGGCCCCCAGCTTCTGAGCTGTGCATGCGCCTGCTCCCACCATCCGTTACCCCCTCTCGTGCTGCTGGAAGAGCCTGGGGCAGCCAGCGGAGACAGCCAACTGTGCGCCCCACCCGCAGCTGAAACAGAGCTGCGGCCAAGACACGGCTGGGGGTGCTTGGGGGCCACTGATGGTGTCTGACACGGCCCAGCCCTCGCACTCTGCTCCCCTTTGTGCGTTCTCCATACAGACTTGCTCTTTCACGGAGTCTCCAGAGAGGTGGCCAGGTATAATTTCTAAATAAAGACTTGACACTGAGAGTCCTCAGTGCTGCAGCTGGCCCCAAGCCTGTCACGGACGCTGCTCATCTCCCTCTGCCCCTCGCTCGGCCCCGGTGCCCACTGGTCCAGGCTGTTTGCCTGGTGGGGTGACCCAGCCTCTCGCCTGGGAGGAGTCTGCGCCCTCGCTGACTCGTCTTTGTCAGATCAGCTGCATCTGCTGCAAGTGCTGTTTATGATTGCCACGGGGCCCCAGGAGGGACCTCAGCGACACCTGTGCCTGCAGCGTGGAGCAGCAACCCTGGTGTCTCGGGTCTTCGAGGCCAGTTAACGCATCAGTTAAGTGACCACTGTTTTTGCCCAAGGGACTAGGTGGCAGTGGGGGCTTCTGAGGAGTTCCTTCCACTGTCCCCTGGTGGACGTGTTCCCTCCGCTGGAAACTAGGGCCAGGGTCTAAACTGCAGGGGTAAGGAGGGCCAGTGCGGCGCCTGCCCCGCCGCTCTCCCTGGACGCCCCACCGTTGGTTCGGCATATACACTAGATCCTGGAGGGCAATGGCCCAACTCTGCAGGGTGACAATGACGGTGAAGGGCCAGGTGGTGTGGGCAGAGCAGACAAACCTTATTGCGGGTCGGTGTCCCAGTCTGGTAAGCGTGAGCTGCCCACTTCTCCAGCAGGAAAGGAATCCCGCGTAATCAGCTTGCTGGGAAGGGTCTGGCTGCTCTCCCTGAGGGATGATGCTCTATC